TGTGAAAATTAATACCTTAGTGAAAGTAAACAAGGAGAAAAAACGTGTGAAAATAATATCTAGTAAGGATAACTACATTAGTGAGGAATAATTACCTAGTGAGGAATATTCCAGTGAGAATAATATCAGTGAGAAATATATTGTAAGTAATTAAGTAGCTTAGTAAGGAACAATATATATATAGAGAGAGAAATAATATCAAGTAAAGAATAATACATAGTGAGGAATATATCAGTGAGAAATTATATCTAGTAAGTAATAAATACCTAGTAAGGAACAATATATATATAGAGAGAGAAATAATATCAAGTAAAGAATAATACATAGTGAGGAATAATATCAGTTGAGAAATTTATATTCAGTAAGCGAAGATATCCCGCTGATGAATTAATAATATATATAGTGAGGAATAATATCTAGTAAGGAATAATATCTAGTAAAGAATGTCCTATCGTGAGAAAGAATCTCTAGTGAGAAATATCTAGTTAAAAATACTTATACTGGAGAACACTATACCTCGTGATACGCAGCAGTAGTAGGCTTGTCGTGTGAATCCAGATTCTCATAAATAACAAGTTTTATGCTGTTTGTTCTCCCCTCTGCACTCGCATGTCCACGATACGTCCATGTCCACGATACGTAATTAGCTAAATATAGACCAAATCAGGAGTAAATAATAATAGAGTATTAATATCTATTATTATCTATTATTATTAACTTCTGACGAAATAATATGAAATAATATGGCTATCTAATTCGCGCTGTTGACGAATGCTAGAATGGCTGACACCTTGTGACGTTCATAAGTGCGTAACCTTACCGCCAAATTCGTGTTAGTTCGTCCGATTTCTCCGCTAGTCACTATTATAAAGCTCAATCGAAAATTATCTACATTTATCATACAGTAGTTTGTAATTCGAATCGCATCCTTGCGAAACGGGTGTAACAGAAATTTCTGCACTGCGCATTTTTGCAGCATTCTGGGCCGTACGCATGCTCGGTTCGTCACTGCCATCAGAACATACGGGTCACACGATTTTTTGCTAAACCCTTTATATTATTGTCACGTGACACAGCGCGTAAACCACTGATCTGTTTATAAATAATAACATGATATGACGTAATGTAAAAAATACGTCATGTAACATAACGAAATGTTTGATTTTATATAGAGCGCGGTGGTGTAAACTCGCATCAAATTTTTTCTCGTTGCTAACAACGAATTAATAAGTCGGATTTTGTCAAGGTCACGTGCGATGAAGCTGGTCAACAGAATGTGAAATTGGCTGCAAGGTCACGCGCCGCACCCACACACTTATTTACAGACGCGGTGTCAGTTATGTCAGCATTTGCCGACCGTGCAGATTAGATTGCCATATTCCTCCTATTATTTGTGACAGCCTTCCCGCAATGCATCGCGCGCGCTGGAGCGTGAGCGTCAGATTATATATAAAATTAACCCATCAAAGTTTCGAGTGCAATTTGTCGCTCGTTCTGTCAGATATCGTTGACTGTTTGTACATCACGCGGGTCTGGCTGCCCGAAGCTATTACGGCGTGGGCATATCCACTGCAATCAGGCGATGACGTAATTAATACGACTCTCGTGCACTCGGAATAGGGCGCCACTATTCCCCTTACGGGTGATATCTGAATAAAGATATCGGCATTTTTCTATTGTCACGACTGTATGTTGCGAACTGGCGAGATTTTACGTGATGAAATAATTACTATAGTTGTTCAGCGGGTATAGTGTCTGGCGGAAATATTTGAATACGTATATGTGACCCGCTCCAGCAAAACCAGGATTAAGTAGGAAATTCTACAAATTGAGTTATGTGCATATCTGAATAGATCATTTAATTACCTTTAAAATGATATATAATATTTGGATATATCTAAAGAATTGACCGATCTACAGCAATTCGAAGATCGGAAACCCACTTATTCCGGAATATGCAGCTTTTGAGATCGGAAACCCACTTATTCCGGAATATGCAGCTTTTGAGAT